ATGCAGGCCATACCCCAAAGGAAACTCTCTTTCAACTGATTGGCTATTCACAGCAGATCTCATGATGGAGGTGATTACATCATCATACGACTGCAAAACTACATCGTAACTGCCAAACCACTGAGAATCATGGCCCAGCCAAGTTGACACACAACTTTATCGTGCCGATTTCCACCATATTGTGTACTGCTTTGCCCTTCACCTGAATTAACACTTGTCTACTGTCTAGTGATTCTTCCCTCCCTCCCCCTGCCATCCCTGGTAACCATTAAAGAATGTTTCTTTCTGTGTGCAAATACTTCTTGTTGTACTTGGGTGAACACATCAGGAGAAACAGGACTCGATATCAGGCAAGTTTGCCAAAAGGCTGCCTGGCTTCAAATACCTCTTAGGCATAACTCCTCCTTCCCAAATATCTTTAGTTGGCTGCTTTCTGGAAGAGGATCATGGATTAGATCTATATCGCTAACTGGGTTAAGGATACTTACTGTTGTTGTAATTATTATTAAAACAGTCAAATGCTGTATGAAATTTACTTCCAATGTTTAGAATGTCTATGACAATTGTGTACATAGATAAGACTCACTTCTTTGATGGACTCAAGCTTATCGCTTAAGCCACCTTAGAGCAGTCAAGTTGTTCCTCTAATGTGACCCTGCTCCATCCTAACCCTAACAGAGATCACAGAAGCAGAATTCTAAGCCATGGCATGGTGAAGAGGTCAGAGGAGGCCCGGCTATCCTTTGGTAGTGTCTGGGGTCTTTAAGACTTAGTTAACAGCCATCTAAGGAATTGTAAATTATCCCAAGTCAATGCAAAAGAAAGGGTTCCTTAAATAGTGATCAAAGAATTTCTATGGAAATCCTCTATAAATAGGAGGGAATGTGTGAGAGCTCCAAAATTTAGGTGACTGACATGACTCAAGGGGCCCTAGTGGCACAGTGGTTAAGAGCTACAGCTGCTAACCAAATCCACCAGCCGCTCCTTGGAAACCCTATGGATCAGTTCTACTGTGTTCTATAGGGTCACTGTGAGTTGGAATTGACTTGACTGGGCAACGGGTTTGTTTTTTTTTTTTTTGGTTTTTGACATGACTCGAATGGTTGGCTTAGGTCTGAGCCCTGGCTCTATTTTAATATAAACCTTAACTTCTGCTTGCTTCCCTGTAACCACTAACCTTTGAACAGACTTAATTATGCAGCTAAGGAAATATTTGTCTTGGTAGTTAAACTAAGGATATGAAAAGAATAGTCCTGAGGAGGGTCCTGACGCAAGCCCCTGATCATAAATCTCCTCCACAAGCAACTCTCTGGGAAAGTTTGCTAAAAATTCTATCATAAGAGAATGTTCTCAGGAAACAATGTCCTGTGATTGTTTTATGACCAACCTGTAAACTTCCCTTTAGTCACCTGTTTCTGCAATTATCCCATATAACGAATCTAAGAGGCACACATACATGTTTCACACCAATCATATTAAGATCCCTGCTTGTGTTCAGCCTCTTACTTCCCTAAATGCTTGAAAACCAATCAGAAAAACTGTATTGTAAGTCCCTGGTTTTAATATATAAATGTACCTGTTAACCTTCAGTCCGTGGGAGCATTTGGTTTCACTTTGTGAGATCTAAATGTAGCCCCCGATTCGAACTGCTTTAAGCCTTTAATAAATCTCTTTGCTTTTACTTTTAACAGAGTACTCGTTTTTACTTTGACAGGATAGAGCTAGAATTTGAAACTTCGCTATGAAGTCCTTTCTCTTTCTACTCCATAGTAATGGCAGGTGAAACAATTCAGTTTCCACTGCTTGGAGAACTCAATTTATTCTTTGCGGATCTTTCCTCTTTGAAACAGTTCCTGATGATTCCAACACTTTTTAAAATTGCATTTAGCTCACTGGTTTGTGGTTATTTGCATCACTCTCCTGGGAGGTAGGGATGAGTGTTTTCGAACCCCCAGAGCCTAGCACAACGCTTGCCACTGATTAAGAAAATAACATTTGGAATCATTACTCCCTGACCTTGAGCATGGAGAAATGTGACCCAGCTGGGGCTGGGCCCTCACAGACTCGCAAAGACACATCAACTGGGCCCTGAGATAGACAACAGATGGGACAATCTCAGAAATTATTTTAAGGAAGTTTTCACAAAAGGGCAATCAAACCTAACACAAAAGACTTCCCACTTTTTGTCTTTTTCTGTTAGCATTTAGTGAATAGAAATTTGTTGGACCAATGAAGACCCTCGTGACTTTCGTAACTGAAACCTGCACCAATGATTGTTAAGAAAGATGATTTAAAATGTAAGATCACAATTTTTAGCCAATCAGTGAAAAGGTGACGCTTTCAATGATTCTACCCATTTTGTGATGTTGATATATACTGATGATTCTGTAACTTTCCTCGGATTCGGGCAGACATTCTAGCTCTGGCACCATGCTTGTCCGCTTCCCACTTTTGTCCTTTTGAATATATGCCGAATAAAACTTTCTTTTTGCTTTACTAAACTTTGTTTTTCCTCTACAATACCACTAACTAGGCGTTCAATTATACATTTAACAAATGACTGAATTAATACCAAAAATGTTGAAGATAGCTTCATGCCGTCAGAGGGAAAAGTCCAATCATCTAGGGCCTCAACGACTATCATGGACTGAATTATGTCCCCCGAAAAATGTGTTTATCAATTTGGCTTGGCCGTGATTCCCGATATTGTGTGATTTTCCTATATGTTGTAAATCCTCTTTATAATGTTAATGAGGGAGGATGGGCAGCAGTTGTGTTAGTAAGGCAGGACCCAATCTACAAGACTGGATTGTGTCTTCAGACAATTTTTTGAGATATAAAACAGAGAAGTGAGCAGAGAGACAGGGGGACCTCATACCACCAAGAAAGCCCTTTCGGGAGCAGAACGCATCCTTTGGACCCAGGTTCCCTGTGCAGAGAAGCTCCTAGTCTGGGGGGAACACTGATGAGAAGGCTGACAGAGAAAGCCTTTCCCTGGAGCTGACGCCCGGAATTTGGACTTTTAGCCTACTTTACTGTGAGGAAATAAACTTCTCTCTGTTAAAGGCACCACTTATGGTATTTCTGTTATAGCAGCACTAGATGACTAAGACAATGACCTTTACTCTTCCGGCCACCCCGGTGCCCTGGGTTCCCACTTTCAGGTGCAGTCGGCCTTAGCGGAGCTTAAGCACCCGGAAGGAGAGCTGTGAGCTCGTCGGTTGCGCCTGCGCACCAACCTCCAGGAGCAGACGCTTCTGAAGCAGCAGCGCTATTGGTTCCAAGATCCGCCCTCCTGCCGACGTCAGCACGCCGGAATGGGGCGGTCGTCAGAGACGCACGCCGACGAGCCGGGCTAGGCTTGCAGGCTCCGTGAGCAAAGTAGTGTGCCTTCTCCGCGCTTTCCCTGCCGCGCCTGCGCAGGCCCCGCGGCGCCCGCGCTGCCATGGCGCTTCGCTGCCTGCTGCTGCCGGGTCGGGGCGGCTGCAGGGCCCGAGGCTTCCCGTTGCTCCTGCTGTCCGGTGGGAGCGCGGGCCCGAGCGAGCGGCCCTGTTTCCGGACGGTGAGTCCCAGCGCCCGGGCCCGGCGGCGCGCGAGCGCCAAGGTCAAGGCCCCGTTCCTCCCCTCCCCCCGCCCACTGATTGTGTGAGTGAGGGGGTTCGGTGCCCGCCAGCCGAGCCCAGGAACCCCTGACCTCCGGACCCGCTTTAGCCGGTTGTTCCCACAAGCACGCTTGTATTTGTCAAACCGAGGTGTCGAGTTTCGGAAACACGCGTCTCCGGTGCACTCGGATCTGTGTGCTTCAAGGATCTTCAGAAGATCATCTTGCCGGGGTCTTCCGGCTTCATTCTGGGTGAACCTGTTTAACAGATACAGCACCTGAGGCCTGAAAAGGTTAAAGAAATTGCCTGTCTCGAGCATTAGTTGCCTTCATTTTGCCTGCTTTTACGACGTTGGAAAGTAAAGTTAAGGTGTTGTGTATGTACTTTAAGAGTCGGCATAATGAGCGTGAGGTAGTCAGAAGCACAGGTTTGGAGTCAAGCTACTTAACCTTTATGAACCTCAGTTTTCCCACCTGTAGAATGGCGCTATGGCTGGCATTCTGGATTTGGTCTTGTGTAAAAGGTCCTGTCCTTAGTAGGAGGCTATTTTTATGTTAGTGGTAACTAGTGAAAATAAGTTTACACAAGGGATATGGTAATAACATTTTTCCAAAGTGATGGACAGAACCATTGCAGTAATCTGTCTCAAGGAAAGGTTTGTTATATTCAGTTCGTTAGTCGATGTCAGCTATTTTGATGACACAGTTTCTTGCTCTGTTATTTCTTAGTGTACAGCCTTGTAGTAAGTATCCTGAGGTACACACGGAGAGCAGAATAGCATGGTGGTTCAGGCCTTGGAGCCAGTCACACAGGATCTCAGGCTTGGCCACTTACTAGCTGACTGCCCTAGTGGAAGTTAGCTCAGCTTCTTCACTTAAAAGGGGGTTATTTGCTTATTATTTTTACTCTTTGAAGCTCCCTTGCCATTCTCGGATTGATTCCTTGATTTCTTCCTCTCTCATACTCCAGGCTTCCTTGCACAGTCCCCTTTTAGGGCTTTTGCATTGTATCCATTTTGCCATCTTACCTTGCTCTAATCCTTTGTTTGTTGTTGTTTTTGCCCGTAGTGAATATTGAAGGAGCCCTGGCGGCACAGTGGTTAAAGTGCCCCGCTGCTAAAAGAAAGGTCGGCGGTTTGAACCCACCAGCCACTCTGCAGGAGGAAAGACCTGACGATCTGCTTCCATAAAGATTACAGCCTAGGAAATCCTATGGGACAGTTGTACTCTGTCACATAGGGTCACTATGAGTTGGAATTGACTCGACAGCACACAGCACTACCACCAGCATATAATTTCAAAAGTGCTTTTACATTTGATCCTCCCAGTAGTGTCCCAGGGAATAGTATGCTGGGCAGAGTTGTTTTTTAATGTTACAGATGTGTAACTGAGACTCCCAATATCATGGGACTTGTTGAAGATCTTCATGCGAAAAAATTCAGATTTCCAGCTTTAACAAAATTAAAAGTTCTGATGATACTTGACTTGAATTCCCATATGGTATATTGAATGCTGCTGGGTATCGACTTATTCTTTAGGATACACACAGCCCCCACCACTTCATATGCTCTTCTCTCATTTATGTTTCTTCCCTGACCCCCTAAGGCATTTGAGTTTGATACTTCTGCTGTAAACCCAATGAGTTCAAAACTGAACGATTTTCTTCATCACGCTTATTCTTTCTCCTGTCTAGATGGTAACAGTCACCTGCTACCATTCAGTAGCCTGCAGAAACTGGGGATTTGTCCTTCTTTTATTCCCTACTCCTACATCCAGTTAATTCCTTTGAATTTAACCTCATTATTTCTTAAATCCATCTCTGAAACCCTATCTCTCTGTAAACTGGACATCCTCATCTCTTGCTTCTCCTTCTATACCATCTTGAATTCCACGACCACTGAGTAAAGACCAAATCTGATTATTATCATTTTTTTCCCCTTTTCAAACCAAAAACAATAAAAATACACAAACAAAACACTGCTGGCTCTTGGCACCTATAGTAGCATTTTTCTAGATGTGTCTGTTTGAACATGAGTTCAAGGAGCTGTTAGTGTTATATAAAAAGAGGGTCTATGATCAAATATAAGGAACCCTGGTGGCATGGTGGTTAAAGTGCTCAGCTGCTAACCAAAGGGTCAGTGGTTTGAACTCACCAGCTGCTCTGCAGGGGAAAGATGTGGCATTCTGCTTCTGTAAAGATTTTAGCCTTGGAAACTATGGGGCAGTTGTCTGTCCTCTAGGGTCGCTATGAGTTGGAATCGACTCAACGGCAGTGGGTTTGGTTTGGTGATTTTTTTTTGCTTAACAATTAAATAGGCAGATTTTTCAGAGCCTTTAATATGTTAATGTCATATAAATCCATAATTGGGAAATACAGTATGGTGCTTCCCAAACTTAATTTGACTATGGAACCCTAACTTGTTTTCTGTGATCATACCATACTTCTGGGAAACATTGGCCTATTCTAGAGGATGAAATCAGCTTCATAAGCAGCTGGTTGAAGAGTTTGTATGGGCTCAGGAGTCTGAGCTGGGTTCCCAGCTCTGTGCCATTCCTAAATTGGTTTCTTTATCTATGAAACATGGGTAATATTTACTTTAAATTATGTCGTTGATAAGATGTGTAGGAACAACCCTATGACATAAAACCAAAACTAAACCACTTGCCATTGAGTCAGTTCCAACTCCTGGTGACCCCGTGTGTGTCAGAGTAGAAGTGTGCTCCATAGAGTTTTCAATGGCTGTAACCTTTTGGAAGCAGATCGCCAGGCCCTTCTGAGGCGCCTCTGGGTGGGCTCAAACCACCAACCTTTCAGTTAGTAGCTGAGAACTTAATTGTTTGCTCCACCCAGGGACCTCTGTCACATACTCATTGCTGTCAAGTTGATTCCAACTCAGTGCCCCTCTGGGACAGAGTAGAACTGCCCCATAGGGTTTCCAAGGCTGTAAATATTTACGGAAGCAGACTGCTGCATCTTTTCGAACCACTGACCTTTCAGTTAGCAGCGAAGCGCTTTAACCACTCTGCCTCCAGGGCTCCCGTGTAATAGATTAATGGTAGCTGCTGGTGTTAATATTTTCACGCTCTTCGTGATTGTCTAGCTTTCTCTTCTTGTCTTTGGCCAGTATCTCCACTTGTATGTTGTTTCAACAATATTGAGTTATTTAGTCTCTGAACAGTGTGTTTTGTTTCCTGTCTTTACTTTTCCTGGAAGGCTCCAGCCCACTCCCAGTCTGCTTGGTGAATCCCAGGCCAGTCTTGCTTCTCTTGTGAAGTATTCCCTGGGGCCTTTAAACATGTAATCACTTCCTCCTCTCTGCAGTTATGATACTGTGGTGTAATCAGTTGGTTCCCATGACTTTCTCCCTTGAACTTCTGCATTCGCCTTTGGCCTTCCCACAGTTTGGCAGCACCTGGCCTGGACTAGATGCTCCGTCAATGAGTGTTGACTTGTTTCCTTCTTGAATAACAGGTCATTTTCATCTATGCCTTTAATGAGTTTAGCATTCCTAAATACTTTATTCACTCATAATGAATTCTCACCCATTATCAGCTATATCATAGGCCAAGTGTTCCAGGGGGTAGGGTGGGGAGAGGGCTTAAAATAACATGACCTCTAGATTTGCTCAGACCGGTATTGCTGTCAACCAAGAACAGTGTTAGTGTTTCTGTCCTATTTTACTGTACACAATTTTGTGTTTATTTGATGTTAAATCAGCTCATTCTTTTTTTTAATTGAAATATAATTTACAGATCGTAAAATTCATCTTTTTAAAGTGTGTAATTCAGTAGTTTTTTAGTATATTCACAAGGTTGTGCAGCTGTCACTGCTAATTCCAGAACATTTTTATCACTCCAGAAAGAACCTCTGCAATCATTAGCAGTCACTCCCTTTTTCTCCCCAACCATCCCCTTAGCCCTAGGCAACCACCAGTGTGCTTCCTGCCTCTATGGATTTGCCTATTCTGGACATTTTATATAAATGGAATCATAATATGTGGACTTTTAAATCTGGTTTCTTTCACTTAGCATGTTGTTTTCAAGGTTCATCCATGTTGTAACGTGTCAGTACCTCATTCCTTTTTATGGCTGAATAATATTGAATGCATATACCACATTTTATTTATCCATTCATCATCAGTGAATAGACATTTGGGTTGCTTTCTACTTTTTGGCTATTATGAACAGTGCTGCTGGGAATGTTCCTGTACAAGTTTTTGTATGGACCTATGGTTTCATTTTTCTTGGGTATGTACACAGGGGTGGAATTGCTGGATGATATGGTAACTCTTTAAAATTTTGAGGAACTGCCAAACTGTTTTCCAAAGTGGCTACACCCTTTTACCTTCCCAACATTTGTTATTGTCTTCTTTATTATAGCCAATCCTAGTTGATGTGATGTGGTTTTACTTCATTTTGTGATGTTTTATTTTTCTCATCAGACCATAAAAGTGACAAATGGTGAGGGATTCTAATGCAGATGAACTTCACTTTAAATATTCCCATCCGAATTTAAAAACTTACCGTCCCCTAAAAAAAAAAAATGTAGTGAGTTTTTACTTTGCAAAAGGATAGGATTACTTGAACTTTATCACTGCCAGATTTGGATATATCCCCTCAGTGTGTCTTGCCGTTGATTGCTTCTGTGCAGCTCAGGAGTTAATAGGGAGCTTCTTTGGTGTGCTCACAATATGCTTCAGTTTATCTAGACTGTATTTGCAAACAACTTTTTAGCAGCATGTGTTATATAGAGGAGAGACATATCTGTGATGGGACTTACACGGCCAGGGTTGTCACCAGGATGACAGTGTATCTTTAGCAAATGTTGCCAGTATAAGGATTATCAGTGATGTTGGATTATAACTTTCTTATCTTTGAACTAAAATAAGTTTAGTTTTATGCTTAACAAGCAGCATTGCTCTGTGAAGTATCTTGCAATGTTATAGACTTTCAGATGAGTCAGTATGAAGCAGCAGTTTTTCCCGTCCCAGAGTTTTTCTTTTGATTCCTGCCAACTAAGTACACAATGCCAGAGTGAACGTATTGTCAGAGAATTGTATTTGGGCTGCGGTTGTAAATTGTATGTGATTTTGAAGTATTCTTATCTTCTGGATAATTGATGTCTTCTGGTTCTGTTGCTAGCATAGGGTAGCCCACGTTCTGGATACAAATTAGTGTTGTGTGTATGAACTCATAAATTACAGTTTCAGAACTGAGTTAAAATAACACTATCATCAATACCATGTATTAGGGGTATTGCTCCTCATTCTGTGCTAGTCGGTAACAACTTGTTGAAGGGAGAAACATTTAACCCACTTCATATTAGGAAATAAAGTTCTTCTTTTTAACCTTTATTTGATATAACCTTCATGCTTTTGTTTACATGTCATGTTTCAGCTGTATCGATACGCTACAACTCAAGCAGCAACCAGCAGAAATTCTCTTCTGACAGATGTCATTGCTGCTTATCAAAGATTCTGTTCCAGACCTCCAAAAGGTAAACACTGAGGTGTGACCTGAAGGTGCATACTTGTGTTTCAGGTGGCTCTTAGCTTCTGTCCCCTTTTGTAACCTGCTCCCCTACTTCATGCCATGACAAAAATGGGTCACCTTCAAGTATGATAACACATTTATAGCTAAGGAAATTGGCATGCAAATGAGCGTTGTTTTCTTTAACACCTCGGGCTTGTGAACTAGACTATTTAGACTGATTTATTCTTGCAATGTTATACTTTCTTTCTTTTTTAAATTATGTCACAGCTGCTTTTAAAACAGAGACATACACAGACACTGATGAATTTTAGTTTGAGAGTGTGTATTTTTTTCTTTTTCTGACAGGATTTGAAAAATACTTTCCTAATGGAAAAAATGGGAAAAATGCTAGTGAACCTAAAGAATTTATGGGAGAAAAAAAAGGTACCTTTTCAAAAGATTGTTTGAATTTCATGTTTTCCTTAATACATGGTATTGATGATAGTGTTATTTTAAGTCAGTTCTGGAACTGTAAGTTATGAGTACATATAAAATTCTAGATCCTATGTTTCATTACACCTTAATTTTCTGTTCATATTTTCCTGTCATTTTTCAAACTGAAGTAACTCAAGGTCACCTTAGAGATACTGACTGATCAAACTAAAGCGTATTTGATAGCTATTTGACACAAAATATAAACCATTGAGAAAAATCTGAGAAATGTAATACATGCAATTTATTTGACACGTGTTGTGATATAGTGCAGTGTTTTTCAGATTGTTCCTCAGAGCCTTAACTTAGGGCTTCAGAGAGGGTTTCTTAAGAGTTGGGTGGCTGTTGGGGGAGCTGTGTGGGGTGTACCAGGCCTCCTGCCCTCCATTTCACACATGGATAGCACTTAGCACAATGCCTGGCATATCTTAGCATTCAGTTGCCATCCTTTTTTTTTTTTTTTTTTTAGGGAAATGTAAGGAAAATTATAATGCATCCCTTGTTTTTTAATGAACTTGTGTGCAGAGGAGTGAAAGTAAGCCCAGAGGGCAAGGGAAGGGAAGCGCTAAGTGAGGACTGGCTATGGCCCATGATTCTAGGTTGGAACAATGGTGAAATAGGCAGCTTCTCAAGTTTTTTTCCAGAGGGATGGGAGATAGTCTTATAACCTTTGTTTGGGGTAGATGAATGATACAGGGTTCACGTTTCAAATACAACTGAACTAGTACCTGTTTGGTACCTTTTGCACGAATGCTACCTTATGGGATAAGTGGTATGGGATATTGTCAGACAGCTTTAAACAGGTTCTTACTGTGTTTCCCATTCCTGAGCCTTGTTTAGGGCAGGGTTGAGGCTTGGCCACATCGTGCCTGTCCAGCGCTGGACGGTATGTAAGGCAGAGGTGCAGAAGTTCCTTGCATGCATTACAGTGGTGAGGCGTGTCATGAAGCCAGGGTGTCTCAGAGCCTCTGAGGATGGTTGTCTGTGACTGACTGCCATCCTGCTGCATCTGAGGGCTTGCTTCATGGTAGCTGAAGGTAGATGATATGCGTTTGTGTTGCGAGGGTAGAAAAGTGGGAAAAGAAAGGAAGATGTTAGGAACGAATTTCAAATTCTTGCAAACTATATGTGGGTGTTTTTTACCTTAACTAATTATCAAAATTATATTTTTCCTACAGAAGAAACTATTAGCAGTGTTTACTTCCTGGGAATGGGAGAGGGGAGCAGGGACTTTTTAACTATAATTCGAGGCTAAGGAATTCGTTTGCCAGGGTTCAGATCCCAGCAGTGTCACTTAACACTGCAGTAAGTTACTCAGTGAGTTACTTAACCTCCCTAAGCTACAGTCTCTTCGTCTGTAAAATGGGTATAATAGTAGTAAACTTAGAGGGTTATTGGGTTATTGTGCAGATTTAATGAGATAATGTATGTGAAGCACTTGGAAGCCCTGCTTGAATGTTGTTTGTGTTAGTACCATGCTTTTTCATAGTATTTTATTTAGTAATTGATTAGTTGTCATACTGTACTTTGCAGTAAGTGTTTATTAAACTGTATTAATAAAAACATGTTTGAGAGATATAAAATCCTGCTATGCTTTTCTGTGCGTTCTTTGTGAACAGAGTCAAAGCCAGCCAATACACCGCATTCTTCTGGAGGAGGAATTGGTGGTGGTGGAAGACGAGGTGGCAAGAAAGACGATTCTCACTGGTGGTCCAGGTTCCAGAAGGTGGGATTCCAAACTGTGGGCTAATTTTGAGGTTATTGGGGGGCCACAGGAAAGATTGGAATAATATTGGGAGGGGTTTGTGTCTAACATCACAGATGAGATTCTGAAACTTGGTTCTTCATAGAAAATTTCTCTTTTGCTGCAGGGTGACTTTCCCTGGGATGACAAGGAGTTCAGGATGTATTTTCTTTGGACTGCTCTGTTCTGGGGTGGTGTCATGATTTACTATCTGTTCAAGAGCTCTGGGAGAGAAATTACTTGGAAGGACTTTGTCAATAACTACCTTTCCAAAGGAGTAGTAAGTATTTTATGCATTGGTGGCTAAAGTGGTTCAGGTGACATTCAGTAGATTAGATTAATAAAGGGAGAAATAGCAAGTTAGCCAAGTTCGTCCATTTTAAAGTTACTGTTTATCACGTTGGATTTTTTAAAATGCTGAAAAGTGCTGCAACCAAGAAACCTGTTTGTTTTGATCAAACAACCCACAGATTTACCAGTAAATCCTTTCTTTCACTTCCTATTAGGACATAGTTTTGGAAAACCTGGCTTCAGGCTATTATTCCTGGCCATCTTCCATCTACCATTGCCATTTTTCTCATTGCCTCAGCTGCCTCCTCTCGCTGCTGTAACCTGCCAGCCTCCTTAGCCGTCTTTGTGTTTTTACTGTTTTCAAACTCATGTAGCCTTGGAAATTGGGTTAATAAGAGTATTAGAGCTGTTTAAAGTAAGAGCAAATGGTTCTGAGTAAGGGTCTGAGTAAGGCCCATGGAGTAAGGCCCATGTTTGTCTCTTCATAAGCCGTTGCTACTTGTTGGGTCTTTATCCAGTGTGATACCGTATTTCATCATATTTAAGATGTTGTTATGCATTTTGATGAAAGATTCAATAGAAGAATTCTGATCAGTAGGGGGAAAATGCAGAACAGAATTTCAAATTTGCATGGACTCCAGACTTTATCTGAAACCATGGAGGGCGGATAAACCCCTGAAACTGTTACCCTGAGATAATCTTTGAACCTTAAACTGAAAATATCCCTTGAAGTCATCTTAAAACTGAACAGTAGTTTAGCTTAACTAGTAAAAAAGGTCTGTATTGAGCATTATGCAGTTTTAAGAACTATCTGTATGGAATAAAATTAACAATAGCAACTTGAAAGATAGGAACCTTAGAGGGCAGTGAGTTTATGTTAATGAGGGAAGAACAACTTAGAAAAAGAGGAGGGTGAGAGTGGTTGCACAACTCGAAGAATATAATCAGTGTCATTGAATTGTATGTGTAGAAATTGTTGAATTGTGTGTTCTGCTGTGTATATTCTCAACAACAGCAACAAAATAAAAAAGATGTTATTAGGCTGTTGATTGTAAACCACACATTATTTTATTTATTACTAAGAAAATTTTTAAAAACTGCCAATGAAACTGAGATGTGCCACTGATGATAAAATGTATCCTGATTTCTGAGATGTTAAAATGTGAAAAATATGCATCTCAGTATTGATGAAATATACTGAGAGTAAGAGAATTAGGACTAGGCATGCTGTGTAACCTTGGGTAAACTTAACCTGGTGAAACTTAACCTCTCAGTACTTTGATTTTTCATTAATGAAATGAATAGCATAAAGATAAGATATAAATACTTAGCGAGGCAGTATAAAGAACCCAAAATTGTTCTTAAAGGTCATACAATAAGGTGAAGATGGAAAAATGGAAATGGCCATGTTAAAAAAAAAATCATTGTGATAAAATATATATAAAAAAGTTGGCCATTTTAACCATTTTTAGGTGTACGGTTCAGTGACATTAATTACATTCACCATGTTGTGCTGCCATAACCACTGTCTGTTTCCGTTTTTCATCCCCCAAGCAAAAGCTCAGTACTGCTTCAGCAAAAACTCCCACTCCTCCTCACCCAGCACCGTTAGGTGCTGTGGAGTCGATTCTGGCTCATAGCAACCCCATAGGAACCACTAGTCTATGCATTTGCCTGTTCTAGAATTTTCATGTAAGTGGGATCATATGCTATGTGTCCTTTTGTGTCTGGCTCATTTCATTCAGCATAATGTTTTCAAGGTTCATCCATATCAGCATGTATCAGAACTTCATTTTTCTTTATGGCTGAATTATATTCCATTCTGTGTGTATACTACATTTTGTTTATCCGTTCATCTGTTGATAAAGACGCTTGGGTTTCAACCTTTTGGCCACTGTGAGTAGTGCTGCAGTGAACGTTGGTGCAGGAATGATCACATTTTTAAAGCAAGTGTTTATCTCCTGGAAGCTAGGATATTATGTGTATAATTCCCAGGCATGGTGGGGAAGCAGCTCTCTGAGAAGGAACGCCATCCTCAGTTCTTTCTGAGGGTGCTAATAGGCACTTCAGGAGAATCCTCTCTAGCTCCATTTCCTCCTGGCCCATGGGCTTCTTTGGAATCAGTTTACTGTTGCCTCAACCATTTTATGGGGGGCAGAGTACTTCTAGTCATGCCTTTCCAGACAAAACTAACTTTAAGAACAGTTACTCCCCTATTCCAACTCCTCCTGGAATTATTCTGGGTTTCCCTCACTTTCAATCCTTGATTCTTGCCTCCAGACTTATTGACAAAGCAGACTGAGTGACAGCAGCCACCTGGTGCAGAGGGAGAAGCATATACCAAAGGACTCTAGTTCCGGAATCAGTCACAGTCCTTGGGATGAGGCATTTCAGAGTGTATACCCCTCCTCCACCTTGAGACTAGAAGAACTAGATGGTGCCCAGCTACTCCTACTAAAAGTTCTGATCAGGAACATAATAGATGAATCCTGATAAAAAGGGAGAAAAATGTGAAACAGCACTTCAAATTCTTAAAGAATCCAGACTTACTGAACCTATTGAGTCTGGAGGAGTTCCCTAGACTATGGCCTTGAGTTGCTCTTCAAACCTTGGATTGAAACTATCCCCTGAAGTCACCTTCAAACTAACAGTTTAGCCCAAAGAGTAAAAATTGTCACCCTTGAGTATTGAGTTACTTTAAAAAAAACTTACATAAAACTAAAGGGGTCAACGGAGCCCTGGTGGCGCAGTGGTTAAAGTGCTTGGCTGCTAAACAAAAGGTCAGCGGTTTGAACCCACCAGCTGCTCCACGGGAGACGGATGTGGCAGTCTGCTTCCGTAAAGATTTACAGCCTTGGAAACTCTATAGGGCAGTTCTGCTCTGTCCTACAGGGTCACTGTGAGTTGGAATCGACTTGATGGCAGTGGGTTTTGGTTTAAAGGGTCAACAGCTATTTTAAAGCATGGATGAGTAGGTTGGGGGCAGGGAGATAAGTAAATGGGAGTGAAACAACTAGGACAGAAATAAGGAGATTGTTGAGACATTGTGAACAATGTAACCAATGTCACTGATTATTATGTATAGAAACTGGAATGGGAGTGGGTTTTGCTGTGTATAGTTTCACCCCCTCCCCCCCAAAAAAATTTTTTATATGGTTAGGAAGTTATAGAAAAATAACAAAACAAAACAAATTTAAACCATTTTATACCCCTGAAGTGGCAAAAATTAAACCATCTTATAATGCCAAGTGCAGGTGAGGATGTAGAGCAATAGGTGTGTTTTGCTGGTGAAAATTGATTAGTGCAGCACTTTGGAGAGCAGTTTGGCAATATCTAGTAAAATTGAAGGTATGAATACCTATAACCCAGCCTTAGTATATTGTCTACAGTTAGAGATCCTAGAGAAACTTCTGAAGATGTGCCCAAGAAGGTGTATTCAAGAACGTTCATAACAATTGTTTGTGTTAGTGAAAAATTCGAAACAACCTGATGCCTGTTAACAGGTGGATAGATAAAAACTGGGGGTATGTTCATAAAGTAGAATACCATGCAGAACTGGCGTGTCAGCACTAGGAACTTGATGTAGACAGTGGTGAGAGAAAGAAGACAGTAGTTAATGCATACAGAATGAGACCACTTTAATGATTAAGAACAGGCAGAAATGAATGTGTGTATTGTTTAGGGTTACCTGTGTGTGTAGTACAAGTGTCAGGATGTGCTTGGGGCCGTGGCGCCTCGTTCAGATGGGTCAGTTGTGGGAGAGGCAGCATTTGGTGGGGCACTTGGGCAGTTCTGGCAGCATCTTCAGTGGGCTTGATGTTAGTCTTATTCTTTCCTGTATGTCTGGAATATCATGTGCATTTTAAATGAGCTTAAAAGAGTATTTCAGGTATTTTCTGTAAATTTATATTTGTATATCTAACTTTTTAAATTTCTAGGTAGACAGACTGGAAGTCGTCAACAAGCGTTTTGTTCGAGTGACGTTTACACCAGGAAAAACTCCTGTGGATGGGGTAAATTATTTTATTGATCGATGTGAATTAGCTTTAAATTAACTTTCCGGGTTTAAAGCTGAAAAGACATGCCCTCACGTAGCGGTGGGTCTGTGCCGGAAGGGGCAGGGCAGCAGTGATAACGTTCAGTGACATAGGTGAGAATGTGACCGGTGAGGACGTGACCGGGTGAATGTGCTAGTAAGGCAAGGACTGAGTCGGGGTTTTTTTTGTTGTTGTTTTGGATAACATGTTTTGACCGTATATTTAGGAAACAGTAGGTAAAATCCCAGTTTTCAGTATTTCATTATTGTCTATGATTTTTCAAGACTGAGTGTTTTGGTTAGGAAAAAAATCTTAAAATCTCAATTGCTTCTTTATGTCTTGAGACAGCTTTTTTCAAATTAGATTAGGAGATTCTGATCATATCTCTCCCAATCCTTCTGTGATATATTAATTTCCATGTCTTTTCCTATTTTAAAAATAATTTGTATTTTCTGTCCAACCAGTTTAGACTCTACTTCCAGAGATTTCCTGATGGAGTTGAATGGGTTAAGGGGGTTATGGCTGAGAGGGGAAGGAAGGTGGACTAGAGAGCCTCCCAGGTGATTCCACCCTTCCCCGGCTCTGATCCCCATCTTTCTCTCTTTGTTCCTGGGTGTCCTGTAGTCTTGCCCTCCCGCAGGGCCAGATCTCTCTACCACACTGGATCCCTTCTCCCTTAGGATCCTTTTGTTTAACCATTTCCTCATTGTCCTACATGGATGGGCAACATTTGAGGACAAACCAGAACGATGGTAACCGTATCTCTCTTTTAGTAACATATCGGTAAATATAAGAATATCTGTAAAGTTGTATAGCTCGGGTATTTCAGTCACTTTTAGGAAAGTAATTTTAATTGTCTTGATGTTCCCCCATTCTCTTTACCTTACGATGAAATGTTTGTTAATAATCATGCTACTTTTTTTTTTCTTAGACTGTTAGTGCTGGGAATTAAATTGATAATCCCTTTTAAGAGGACACTTCGGCAGTGTGTATATCAGCAGTTTTGAAAGCATGCACACACCCAGTAACTTTGCTTCTAGGACTGTATCCTAGGGCAGTAACTGAGGGTGCATGTAAAGATTTCTGTACAGTGATGTTCTCAAACATTGTGTATGTAGCAAGAAATTAGAAATAAATAAATGTCCCACATTAGGAGCCTGGTTAACACTGAGGGAATCCTCACTGCCTCGCCTTAAGCATCTGTGCTGGAGCAGTGGTTCTCAGTAGGCAAGCCCAAGAGGGCAAGTTCAAATTCGAGGGGACCTTGTCTTCTAGTGGAAACCCTGGTGGTGCAGTGGTTAAGTGCTGTGGCTGCCAACCAAAAGGCCTGCAGTTAAGACCCACCAGCTGCTCCTTGGAAACCTGATGGGGCAGTTCCACTCTGTCCTGTAGGGTCTCTAGGAGTTGGAATAGACTTGCCGACAACAAGTTTGTTTGTTTTTTGGTATTATTATGTTAAAGATGTTTTAGTTTATCTGCAAGTGTCTCTTTAATGTTTTTTATCCATAGAAAGGTACACTATATACTAAGACAAACGTTTGACTAACTGACATTAGGGGGGAACCATACCTAACTGTTCCTACTTACATACAAGTTGGGCTTAAAGACAGATTTAGGAGTGGAACTTGTTGGTAACCCGGGGACTGCCCGTACTCCTTTAGGGCTTAGTGCTTGAATGAAGTAATGTAAGTGAGTTGTTGTTAGTTGCCTTCATGTCTGTTCTGACTTGGGGCGACCCCATGTGTGAAGAGTAGAACTGCTCCATGGGGTTTTCAAGGCTCTGACCTTTCAGAAGCAGATCACCAGGCCCTGACTTCAAGGCACCCCTGGGTGGGTTCAAACCACCAACCTTATGGTTTTGTAGTTGAGCGCTTAACCATTTGCGCCACCCAGAGATTCCTACGTAAGTCAGTGGTAGTTCTCAAACTCAGTGTGCGTAAGAATCACCTGGAGAGCCTGTGAAAACGCAGGTCGTGGGCCCACCCCCAAGACGGTGATTCAGTAGGTCTTGGCCCAAGAATCTGTATTTCTGACCAGCCCCTAGTTGGCACTGATGCTGCTGGTCAGAGGTCCACACTGATTTCCTGTGTAAGCAATGCATTTAGCATGTTGCCTAGTTGGGAGTGTTGTAGGGGAAAAACATCATAAAGTTGAGTAAAGCAAAAAGAAAGTTTTATTCGGCATATATTCAGAGAGGCAAAAGTGGGAAACGGGCAACCATGCTGCCAGAGCCATGTCTGCCTGAGTCCAAGGAAATATCACAGAACAGACAAAAGTGGGAAAACGGACAAGCGTGCTGCACAGCCATGTCTGCCCGAGTGCAAGGAATAGTTACAGAGACATCAGTATATATTGACATTACAAATGGGTAAAACCATTGAAAGTTTCACCTTTTCACAGATTGGCTAGAAATTGTGATCCTACGTTTTGACTTGTCTTTGTTAACAATCATTGGTACAGGTTTCAGTAACGACAGTCAGGAGGGTCTTCATTGGTCCAACAAATTTCCATTCACTAAATGCTAGTAGAAAAAGATAAGAGTAGAAAGTCTTTTGTGTTCTGTTTGATTGTCTTTATGTGAAAGTTTCCCTAAAAGATATTTTCCAAGAGTATCTTAGCTATTGTCTTTATACCTCAGGGCCCAGTTGATGTTCTTGTGAGTCCTTGTGAGCTCTTGTGAGCTCCAGCTGGGTCACATTCTCTATGCTCAAGGACAGGGAATAAATGATTCCAATATTATTTTCTACATCAGGAGTACGTGCTAAGTCAGGTAATGTTCAGGCCATTTGTGGTTAATTTGTCACGTACATGTTTCAGGACTTGTAACCACATAAACTTTGTAGCTTTGCCAGTGAACAACTTACCAAGTAAAACTTAACTATCCATCTTTCATCTGTGTATACGTGGAGAGAAGTACCAGAAGTGATGGTGGCCCCTCAGTAACACTGGTTGGTGGGAGGAATATGCGATGATACATTGCTCTCTTCTCTGTACTTTCCTGAATTTTCAAAGTTTTATATAATAAACTTACTGTTTTGATGAAAAAATTAATTATTTACAAAAATGATTGCAGGCTAAAGGAGGAACAGTCTTGCTAACACTTGCAAAATGCTTAAAACAGGGATTAGTGGGTAATAAAACTTTGGAAATGTTCGTTGTTGCATTAATAATAATAATTGACATAAGGCTAGTCCCCAAAACGTGAAGATAATGCATATCCCTGCTTTCCCACTTCTCCGTTTCGCTGACACCAGCCACTGATGGCACTTTCTCTCTGATCCTAGCCACCCGGAGTTAGGTCAGACCTTACAAGTTGAAAGAACTCTGTCCTTCAGATCTACAGCCAAACAGATGCCAGTTGCTGCTGGCTCACCCTGCCCCCATGGGTTTACAACTTGCTAGAACGACTCACAGCGCTCATGGAACGTGGTCTGTACTTACTTTAATGCAACCACAAAAGGATACACAGTTGTCCCCAGGGACGTACCCATCCAGGAAGCCTGAAGGATGCTCCGAGGTCCAGAGGTGCAGGGTGTTATGTCGCTGGGGACTCAACGCGTATGCATGGCTGATGCAGTGAATATGCGTGTTGATTGTGTAGTGCCCCCCTCCCTTCCTGAAGTTATTTGCCAGGTGGGGTCTTTGAGGCTTCCACTACATTTGCATTTGTTTAAGTGTTGCCTGGCTATTAGAAAACAAAGGCACCTTGATTGCTAGCAAATTCTAAGGGTTATTTTCCAGCACCAGAGACTAAAGGCTAAATCAAGTTCTTTGTTAATGTCTTCACAGCAGTCTAAGAGGGGCAGTGTGTGCAGTGGTTAGGGCCACTGGCTCTGGTGCCAGACTGCCTGGGGCCAGACCCCAGCCTCTGCTGGTTGTGTCCTGTGGGCATTAAGTCACCTTCATAGTTCTCTCGGAAACCCTGGTTGCATAGTGGTTAAGAGCTATGTCTGCTAACCATAAGGTTGGCAGTTCGAATCCACCAGGCGCCCCTTGGAAACTGTGGGGCGGATTTGGTATTTTTTCTTTTTATAGTTCTCTCATCTGTAAAATGGGGACATTAACAGTTGGGGCTATTCAGCCAACCAAAAAAAAAGCCAAACCTGTTGCTGCTGAGTGGATTCTGACTCATGGCGACCTACAGGACAGGGTAGAACTGCCCCATAGGGTTTCCAAGGAGCAGCTGGTGGATTCGAACTGCTGGCCTTTTGGTTAGCAGCCGTAGCTCTTAACCACTGAGCCACCAGGGCTCCAATATTCAACCAGTGAACACTAATACATTATGGAACTCTTCTTTAATGGTTGATGACATAACTATTGCTCCAGTTCCCACCCTAGGCCCCACAGGAATAAAAGCGTAATGCTTAGCTCAGTAGGGAGCTCCATTTCTGGTTGGATGCTGGTGGTGCCTTCCTGGAGTCCCTGGGTGGTACAAATGGTCAACTTGCTGGGCTGCTAACCAAAAGGTTGGAGGTTTGGGTCTGCCCAGAGGTGCTTTGGAAGAAAGGCCTGGCAGTCTACTTCTGAAAAATCAGCCACTGAAAACCCTATGGAGCACAGTTCTCTGACATGGGGGAGCAGTAAATCCGAATTGACTTGACCTGCAGCTTGTTTGGTACCTTCCTAATACTTCACGCTGAATGAGTTAAGTGTATAAAGGGCTTAGAACAATGCATGGCATTTAGCAGGTGCTCGAATTTTAGCCGTTATTACTGTATCACCTTAGTTTTTTGGTTTGGGAAAAGGCAGCCGAGAAATACCTGGGAAGTGGGGAGAAGAAAAGAAAATGTATTTATTTTAAAAAATAATTGTCTTTCCAAATAGAATTTTAGTTCTATTCGTTATGTTTATGATTTTACAGCTACTGAGGAATCTTGCTAAAGAAATACATATTTTCCAGGGATTGCCAAGTGTTCTCAGCGAATGAAAATTACTACATCAGTAAAACCAGTCTTTTGTTATTTTTTTTTAATGTCTGTATTTTTCAGTACATTTTCAGTATTTCTGAAATAGTCTTAAAAAGTCGAACTCTTTAGTGAATTGAACCTTTTGTGTTCCTCTCATTCTTAGAATATTTTGTTTTTGTTTTTATAGCAGTATGTCTGGTTTAATATTGGTAGTGTGGACACCTTTGAGCGGAATCTGGAAACTTTACAGCAAGAACTGGGCATAGAAGGGGAGAATCGGGTCCCTGTTGTCTACATTGCTGAAAGTGATGGGTAAGCGGTGGTTAAAACAATGTAACTGTTTTACAGACTCTTTACTGCCCCTATAAGGCCCACTGTGTGTCCCACGTCACCAGGTGGCAGAGTTACCAATTAAATTCTCAAACGTACGGTTCTCAGTTTGGTTAGGCGTTTTTGTTTGTTCGTAAAACCATCATTAACTTACTGAAGTCCCTGGGTGGCGCAGAGGGTTAAGCACTTGACTGCAAACCGGAATGGTTGGCAGTTGGAGCCCACCCAGAGGTGCTTCAGAAGAAAGGCCTGGCAGTGTTTCCAAAAAGTCATAGCCTTGAACACCCTATGGAATGTGGTTCTACTCTGCAAACATGGGGTCACCGTGAGTCAGAATCTACTCCCTGGAAATGGGTTTGTTTGTTTAGTTAACTTACTAGTTGTTGCACCTGACTGATTCATTTCCCATGCATTTATATTTATCTTGATTAACCAATGCTTTGGGGCATTAATATCTAATTTACTGTCCTTTAGTAAGATTTTTGCATAAAGAACCCCTTTGTATTAAAAAGTGGCATTCTTACCTTTTAACTATTATTTATGTTTGTATTTCTCTCTTTCCCAGGATTTTAACGTAATTCTTTTTCCTGTCTTGTCAGAGCTGCTTCTTTCTTTGGGGATTATTTGTCTTTAGTAAGGCCACTTAAAGGCCTGGGTGGATGTGCTGTTCCCAGCTTTCAAGAAGGACACATGTATTTTAAGAGTCAGTTGTCTTTGAGTTCATTTGAAAACCTATTGCCTTGGTGTGCTTATACATATAAACCCAGGTAGAACCCATGCAGTTACCCCATTTGCATTAAATGCAGAAAGTATACCTTACTATAGAGTTACCAGTTTGGAGTAAAATTAGAGATAACACTTAATTTTTCTGTTTATGTAAGAAGAGCAGAAAAACTGAAAGCTAGTCTGCTAATTGAGTTGATGGTGTTTCTCAGATTTAGGGAATTTCTCAACTCTTGGTTTGTGTGGACCTATGATCTACCTGCAGTATGTAAATCCAGATAGGGCTGTTGTGATTATTTCACATATAGCTATCCCCTGGCCCCAGAGACTGTAATGTAAGTTTTGAATTTTATAGGCTGGTACTGAAACATTGTAAAAACGTTTCATTGTACCATTCTTTAAACTTTTATTGTCAGTGTATGGTTTTGTTTTGTTCCCAGAATAAGCCAAAGGTAAATTTTTCATGATTCTTGCTGCTTGTTAATAGCAGCATTAAAAATTCTGTAATAGAGGAAAAATTAGAAAGCAAATCCTGCTTTTTGTTTTGTTTTTGACCTTAATCATGTATATAGTTGTGATTCAGATTTCGTAGGATAAGTTAAACTAAATTATATTTGTCCCCACACTTACGTTGAAAGAAGTTTTTTACACAAACGACCCAAAGGCAGAAGACAGCCTGGATTTGATCATTCCCGAGGCCTCTGCAGGCAGCACGGACGTGGTTGCCGCCCTCCCTGTGGTCTCTGTGGAGCCCGTACAGGAAGCAGAGAGTCGACCTTGCACGGTTCATCAATGTGTGTTTGTTTCTTAAGGGATGCTGCTCTTGAAGCAGATGCATTGTTAAATTAGTAAGGATTTAATTTTTGGAAGATAGTTTTCAGAGTAAGTCGATACATCCCTATAAGAGAATCCACACTAACACCAGGATTGTGTTAAAATTTGTGAGCGTTTGGAACATTTGTTTTACGCTCAGATAGAGTGACAGTCCATCAGCTTGTACATGGTGATTCTCGGGCTAGGAATAAAAACCAGTCACCAGCGTGTGTTGAGAACAGACTTTTCTTTTGTGATTCTACTTCAGTGGCGTAACACACTGAAATTCTCTTTGTGCTTCAGATAAAATCTTGGAATAGTCAGGGTTTTTTAAAATAGCAAATACATACAATTATATCCCAGGCAGTTTTATCATAAAGTATATCTTTCAAAACATTAAAAAAGCCAAAGATTAACAATTGTAAAAACAAATTAATGTTGTGTATTGTTCCCTTTAGTTCATTTCTTCTGAGCATGTTACCTACGGTCCTCATAATTGCCTTTTTACTGTACACCATAAGAAGAGGGCCTGCTGGTATTGGTCGAACAGGCCGGGGAATGGGTGGACTCTTCAGTGTTGGAGAAACCACTGCCAAGGTCTTAAAGGATGAGATAGATGTGAAATTCAAAGATGTGGCTGGCTGCGAGGAGGCCAAATTAGAGATAATGGAATTTGTGAATTTCTTGAAAAACCCAAAGCAGTATCAAGACCTAGGAGCAAAAATCCCAAAGGTAAGATGAACTTTCAGATTATTTTCAACTCATTAACCCAAGTCTTTTGAAGTATTTATTGATCTATGAAGTTATAATTTTCATTTGATTACTTATTACAAAATAACTTTTTTTTTGTTCTTCCTATATCTTAACCTACTAGCCTGCTTAACGCGAGTCTTTTTGGGTCAGTTTTTCAGTGTGAATGTGTCGTCTTGCAGGTGGTGTGTAGATTTCTGAAAACCCATTGCCCTCGAGTCGATTCTGACTCACAGCAACCCTATAGGACAGAGTAGAACTGCACCGTAGGGCTTCTTCCAAGGAGCAGCTGGTGGCTTCGCAGCTGCCAACCTTTTGGTTAGCAGCCGAATTCTTAACCACTGTGCCACCAGTGCTCCAGATTTCTGAAGAGACTTACGTTATTTCCTCTTGGGTGCCTTCCCTGATCCTCCTTACTCTCTAGTCTGATTTAGATGTCCCCCACCCCCAGTAGCTGTAGCACCTTGAGCATATCATGCACTGTTGTCTGTCATCCAGATACTTACTGCTTCGACAGGTGACTGTGGACTGTGACTGTTGACAGTACAGGGATGCGATGGAGAAAAGATCAGACAGAGCTAATTGTTGCCTTCCCTCCTTCCAGCAGACATACACGGGCTGCTGTGCTAGCCCTGGGCCATGCCTTCTTGCTCTTCACTCCCAGGGCTAGGCACAGAATAGGAACTTGATATTTGCTGAATGGTTCAGTTATTAAATGAATGAATGAGTTAAAAAGTGTTTAAGTCTTTTAAAGTTTACTTTAAAGGAATCCTTGTAAAGGGAATCATTTCCTTGATTTTTATATTTTGCCTATATGGATACAAAACTTTTTTATAATTTTGTAATTTGCTATTGCATTGTTAGTACCTGTTTACATCTTAAATAATTTTATATTGTTTGATCAAACACATTTTTTCTTTTTAACTAAGTTCATCATTGATTGTTAGATTTTTACTTCATTTGTGAAAATTTTAAAGGGAAGAAAATAAGCACACACCAAAAATCTTCAGAGTTTTATTACCAAGTCTGGAAAAGCATTTCGTGAACGTACTATCCACCTCCGCACACCCAGTTTTTATGGTAGTGTGTCTATTTATGAAAAAGAGAGGACCCTGCATATAGCTAGTCGCTTAATGGAAAATAAAGAAGTCACACGTTCATTCTTGCTAAAAATTATTCACCTGTGCGTGAAAATAGAGGTGGGAGATTGGTTTATTATTTGAATTTAAAAACCAATTTTACTTGAACAATGTCAGGGTTATGTAAATTGAGAGTGTGGTGTTTGTGTCTCCTTGAATTATTTAAGTACACCTCAGCTGGTTTACTGGCAGATTCCTAGCATAAGTCGCCTTTTATGTACTATTAGTCTAAAGATCGAAGAAGCAACACTAAAAATCTTAGAAGAGAAGTATTTAAGATTTCACATTCATACCTAATTTTTTAAAACCAAATGAGTTCTAATAGTTCTTTTCTTATTCTTTTGACTAATAATATAAAAATGTTCTACTCTAGTTCAAAAGTTTAAGAAATATCTAGTGCATATTAGTAAGCTTTATAGACAGATTTATACCTTGGAATTATTTGTGGACCTGCAGTTCACGCTTCTGAAATTCTAATTAAATGTAATTTCTCTCTTGTATATTTGAAGGGTGCCATTCTCACTGGTCCTCCAGGCACTGGAAAGACACTGCTAGCTAAAGCGACAGCTGGAGAAGCCAACGTCCCTTTCATCACAGTTAGTGGATCTGAGTTTTTGGAGATGTTTGTTGGTGTGGGTCCAGCTAGAGTAAGTCTTCTGTTCTGTCCTTATGGTGCAGTCCCCCCATCCCCCCCATGGCCCTGTCTTACCAGCCGCTGCTGTGAGCTCTTTCAGGGCCAGGCTGACATCAGGCTGTGATTTCTACCCACCTTCCCCCGACCCCTACCAGCACTGTAGTCTTTTGTACAATATAATTTTAATTCATATATTTCAACAGGTGGCTTTAATTTGAGGTGGTTGGTTTTTCTTTTCTTTTTTTGGTAACAACTTTATTATATAATTCACGTACAATACAATTCATCCATTTAAAGTGTAGGTTTAGTGGTTTTTAGTATATTCACAGATTTGTGCAACCATCACCACAGTCAATTTTAGAACATTTTCATCGCTCTAAAAGAAATCCTGTGTCCAGTAGCAGCCACTCTGTTACCCCAGCCTTAGGCAACCACCAGTAAACTCTTTTTCTATAGATTTGTCTGTTCTGGACAGCTCATATAAATTCAGTCATAGAATACATGGTTTCGTGCCTGGCTTCTTTCACTTAGCATAATGTTTTCATGTTGTAGCATGTATCAGTACTTCATTCCATTTATTGCCAAATAATATACCATTGTATGGCTATACCACGTTTTATTCATGCATTCATCTGTTGATGGGCATTTGGGTTTTTTCCACCTTTTGACTGTGATGAATAATGGATGCGTCTATGGACATTCTTGCACGAGTTTTTACAAGTTTTCGTTTTTCTTGGGTGTGTGTGTAGGAGTGGACTAGCGGGGTTATATGGTAGTTCTGTGCTTAACGTTTTGAGGAACTGCTAAACTCTTTTCTACAGCAGCTATGTTTTACATTCCTACCAGCAGTGTACGAGAGTTCTAATTTCTCGACATCCTCACCAACACTTCTTGTTTAATTATAGCCATCCTAGTGGGTGTGAAGTGGTACCTCATTGTGGTTTTGGGTTTGCATTTCCTTGATGACTAATTTCTTTGGAGAAATGTCTGTTCAGGTCCTTTGACCATTTTTAATTGGGTTATTTGTCCTTTTTTGTTGCGTTGTAAGAGTTTTTTGTATATTCTAGATATGACTCCCTTACCAGATATATGATTTGCAAATACTTTCTCCCACTTTCTTGATAGTGAAGCACAAAGTTTTAAATTTTGATGAAGTGCAGTTTATTTTTCCTTTTGTTGCTTGCGCTTTTGGTGTCATATCTAAGACTCTATTGCCAAATCTAAGGTCATGAAGATTTATCCCTATGTTATCTTCTGAAAGTTTTGTCTCTTATATTTAGGTCTATGAGTTATTGTAAGTTAATTTTTGTATGTGGTGTGAGGTAAGGTTACAACTTTGTTGTTTTTTTTTTTTTTAAATAATATTTTATTGTGTTTTCAGTGAAGGTTTACATAGCAGTTTACGTTCCCATTTCACAATTTGTACACAAATTATTCAGTGACATTGGTTACATTCTTCACAATGCGTGAACATTCTCATTATTTCTGTTCTGGTTGTTCCATTTCCATTAATCTAGTTTCCCTGCCCCTTTACATTCTCATCTTTTTAAAAGTAATTGTTGACTGTACAACTTCATTCTTTGCGTGTGGCTATTCAGTTGGCCTAACACCATCCGTTGAAGAGTCTGTTTTTTCCTTGTTGAATGGTCCTGACACTCTTAAAGAAAATCAGTGGACCGTAGATAGATATATGGGTTTATTTCTGGGTTCTGAGTTCTTTTTCATTCATCTATGCATGTCCTTATGCCTATATCATAGTGTCTTGATCACTGTTGGTTTGTAGTAAGTTTTGAATTCAGGAAGTGTGAGTATGGATTAATTTTTAAATAAATGCTTAGGTTTTTTTACTCTTGTGTATTTTACCCATATCTAAAATGTTGCTTTTTTAAAAAAGTGCCATTGAAATGCAAAGTGCTATCACAGTTACTTTTCCAGACATCAGGATGCAACTTACAGTCAGTAAGAAAGCATTATATCATAAATTGACAGCATTTTTTCTTTCTGGCAAGAATAGTAATGATGAGTCTTAAAATTGATGATTTCTTAGATTAGATGAAATATATTAGGTGAGTTCATATGGATTTTGCCAGGCAAGTAAGTGTTACGAATAAAAGGGAGCAGGGGGAGTCGAGTGTTTATAATGATGGGCTGTGGAATCTAATATGGGCAAGGAGGGAGCTGAAGACGGCAGAGGACTATGGATGGTGGGAGAGTGATGGGGCTAATGGAATGGAGAGCCGAGAAGTAGGTGAAGAACTGTTAGAAGTGAGACGCTTGAGTCTGTGGGATGCTGGTCAGCGAGGGGAGTGCCTGAGGCTGGTTGTTTGGAGGGGACCTTGGCAGTGGTGGCAGTGCCAGAGTAGAGCAGAGGATTGTGGAAGAGGTGGGTCAGGGAACTCAGAGAGCAAGAGCCCCATGGATGTGGAAATCACTAAGAAAACAGGGAGTGGAGGGTGGAGAGGAAGAGCCAGCACTCCACGAATAGGCCGCACTGGTGAGCGAGGCCTGCAGACAACTACCCTGAGGAGGGAGAAAGTGTCTGCCGGTGGCTGGGCCTTGGACTGTTGTTGTTGTTAGGTGCTGTGGAGTTGGTTCCGACTCATTGCAACCTGATGTACATACAACAGAACGAAACACTGCCCGGTCCTGTGCCATCCTCACAATTGTTGTGTATGCTTGAGCCCGTTGTTGCAGCCGCTGTGTCACTTCATCTTGTTGAGGGTCTTCCTCTGTTTAGTTGATCCTCTACTTGACCAAAGCATGATGTCCCTCTACAGAGACTGATCCCTCCTGATAACGTGTCCGAAGTGTGTGAGATACAGTCTAGCCATCCCTGCTTCTAAGGAGCATTCTGGTTGTACTTCTTCCAAGACAGATTTGTTTGTTCTTCTGGCAGTCCGTGGTGTATTCAATATTGTTTGCCAACACCATAATTCAAAGGCATCAGTTCTTCTTTGGTCTTCCTTATTCATTGTCCAGCTTTCTCATGTATATGAGGCGATTGAAAACACCATGGCTTGGGTCAGGCAGACCTTAGTCTTCAAGGTGACAACTTTGCTTTTGGTAAGAAGGACCTAGTGGTCTACTTCTGAAAAGAATCAGCCAGCAAAAACCTTATGAACAGCAGGGTCCTCAGGAGCAGGCTGTTTATCTCCCAGCCTAGTTATTTAGCAGTAGTGACAGTGTAAGGAAGGCCCCAACCTCAGCTGTTCTTGAGGAGGTGGATTTAAAGTCCTTCTACTTGAGAAGGTTGCAGGGGCAGGCAAGTGTCATTTCCAGCAGGAAGGTAAAGGAAATACTCTGAGACAAGCTTGAGGGAGTAGGGAGCCTGTTGATCAGCCATCTGGAGTGCAGAGGTGGAGGTGTAGAGGGATGTGGGTTATAGTAGGGGTGTGTTCAGAGCAGTGTAGGAATCCCGAATCCAGAAATCCCGGCTGTAGGGGTGGCGGGGGAGACTTGGACTTCTGGTGACCGAGGTGAGGAGGGCTGTGAGGCCTTCTGGAGCTGGCCCCCAGCCTCTAGAAGGGAGCAGGTGAAGAAGTTGAGACCCTGAACGCTTAGCTGATGAAGAGGTGTGGAATGGATACATCTTAAAGTCCATCTGAGTCAGTCCTGAGAGGGAGGGGTTAGCAGGTCAGTATGTGGATGCAAAGGCCTGGGCACCTGCTCCGGGTTGCTCTCTGGGGTGAGTGATGAGCCTTCTGTGGAACCAGTTACCAGCTGGGTGGGTTGGTTTTATGTGTAAGTATTGCATAAATCTGTTAGTGGGTCTCTGTTTGTTAATAACTGCTTAGGCATAAAATGTGAACCCCAGAGTAATTTGAACTTTTAAATTCAATATAAAGTCGACAGCTCTATTATGTTGTTTTTTTGTAGGGCAAAAATATATAGTATTAATTTTTTGATGTTATCAAAATGGTGTATATTATATATACAGTAGTTTATGGGATTATAGAAATAACGTTTGCTCATCTTCAATTAATTACCCACCAAGTTACTAATCATTTGCTACTTTGCACTCATTATTACACTCTTTTCTCGCTCTTTTCAATATGTACTGAACAGTGTGTACCACAGAAAGAATTCCTTCATCTGGGATAGGAAACCTGACAGCTTATTTCTTATTAGGAGGATGAATGATGCTCAACTAGTCAAGCATGACTCCGGTGTTTTTACTTTTGTTAAGGTCCGAGACTTATTTGCCCTTGCTCGGAAGAATGCCCCCTGTATTCTTTTCATTGATGAGATAGACGCCGTGGGAAGGAAGCGAGGAAGAGGCAACTTTGGAGGGCAGAGTGAGCAGGAGAACACACTCAACCAGCTGCTTGTGGAAATGGATGGTGAATATTCAAGCCTTTTACATTTTAAATGACATTTTCTAATTGTTTTAATGTCTCTAAAATGTCAGTCCTTATGCTGATGGTGAGCACAAAAAAAGTGTTCTCTTTTTCAAGGCTCTGCTGTACCAGTACAGATGAGAGCAAAGTGTTTGCCTGACAGCCTGCCCTGACTTAACTAGTGTTGGTGTTAAGATGGTATTTGTACCTGGTGTTGAATAAGAGAAGAATTGGTGAAATGATCCACAGGAGAATTTTAGTCTCGTTCTCAAAATCATTTATGATTTTGAAGCAACAGGAGAATCCATGTGTAATCAAGTGTGAATGTGGCCGATGTAGAAAGAAAGCAATCTGTCCATTTCAGTCAGGTGTTTTCTGTTGTTTAGTAAAGTCAGTTCTCAGGCTGAGCCACATCTTCCTTGTCGCAGTGCATGTGGATGCGTGGCTCTGTGTGCAGGAGTGTTGACTGCTTTAGGTTGCTAAGCCAGCTGTAGGACCCAAGGTGAGAAGCCCCCGTGGGCTGTGATGGACAGTCCACACTTAGAGCCGTCTGTTCCATTTGGAGCCCGCATTTGAGGGGAGTCAGCAGACGAGCATTTCCATTGGAGGGCGTCCTGAGGGGTAGGGTCTAGAGCTAGGACATTGATGTTTGAGAAGTGGCTCATAAAACTATACCTCTTGAATCTGGAAAAGAGATTACCTAGATGGAGGTCGATGCATATCTCCAAATATGTAATGGGTTGTCCTGTGGCCCAGGGAGTTTGTTTAGACACAGCATTTGCAAATTGAATATTATTGATTTTTTTTTATTTGTTTAATTTTTAATTTCTTTTTTGTTATTGTACTTTAGATGAAGGTTTTCAAAACAAATAGTTTCTCATTAAACAGTTAGTACACATGTTGTTTTGTGACAATGGTTAAAAATCCCACGACATGTCAACAGCTTTCATGTCCCCTCCTGCCTTCTAGTTCCTTTTTTTTCTTTTTTTTATATTTTATTGTACTTCAGGTGAAGGCTTACAGAACAAATAGTTTCTCATGAAACAGTAGTACACGTTGTTTTATGACATTGGTTAACAACCCCACAACATATTAACCCTCTAGCTTCTCAAC